GCATTTCCGCGCTCCTTGTGATCTATATCTTTACGGGATTGAAGAAACGGTTCGGGACAGTTTTTTTAATGGACATTAGTAAATGTATGTCCGCGCCACAGAATAAACTGATACAACCCACTAGTTGGCCACCCTTCACATTTTCCCTTCGGACTGTTTAATGCCTGGCCTCTTCACTGTAGTCACAAAGTTGCAAGGTGTGCCGGAGGAGTTGATAGCAGTTCCTCTGTAGTTGCTGTGTAGTTACGGTTAATTTTTTCTCTCCCATACAGTTATCCGGGCAGCAACATGCTCATCTTGGTGCGAAGACATATTCAAACTCCAACTTGAGTAACACCGTTCGTGTGCTGGCATACAGCTAACTTTTCTGTCAGGTATCTTAATGTCTTAACCGGTCATTTTGATTCTGTTTAATAAAGGATATGGATAAAGAGACGTGGTTTGAAGTTCCTATTTGTCCAATTCCCTCCACAATGACCTGATTCAGCCCTCTGCGCACAACTCAAGATGGGGTTTTTCAAAATAGCACCTTCGTCTGACAGGGTGCATTCTGTCTCGAGTTACGAATTACTTTTCTTATTCATTGATAACAAGCTACGTTGCTATCATCTGTTTCAAATTATGGTAAAGAGTTCTGTTCGAATTCTGACAAACAAAATTTCCACGCGAGCTTTCAACCAACATATGTCCGAACTGAATGTCTTCCCGCTCTTTTCAGTGGCAGATCAAAGACTGAATAACTTCCAGCAAAATGTTGAGTGACTTTTAGTGGTCAAGAGAAAATTAGCTTCTTTAGCCTCACCCCGTCATTGTTCTTGTCCGACGTTCCAACTATGGACGATGACCACTTTAGTTAGGATTAAGCTTTTAGTAATGCGCGCATTATCAGCTCGGGAAATTTTCTACCATATTTCCTAATGGCGAGAAACATGCCCCAAATTGCATGTCCTTCCGTATATACCGTTCCATTATTACTCTGAAGCGCTTAGGTTTCAAGGTGGGCATGACATTCGCCTGCGGTCTTGTGTTTCTTCCTATGCGCTCTCCAGCCCCAGCCCGGAAGCGACTGACCCACCCTCCATCCCGTTTGCTCATTCAACAACATGGCTGTCTTGGTGTCAGCTTTTGGCAGAACGGTCTAATGGATTTTACACAAATCCACCAAACAACCAATCTCAGCTTTCAAATCGCCTAATTGACCGACCAGCGTCCGTCCCATTGATATGTTTGTTCCTCTGTGTGTGTGTGTGTGTGTGCGCGCGCAAATGAACGCAATTAGCCCCTGATGGGCAAGGGCAAGTCTGCTTGCTTACTTACCCCCACTTTCCTCACCACACGTTTTTTACCTCACTTTTTTTCCACGGCATCCTTTTTGATTTACGGAACAGACGACATCATCAGATCAAATATATCTTTAAACCACACATTTCATTTCCGTGGATGGTTTACTGCGTGGTACTGTCAAAATTAACCTATTTCAGGTGTGCACTGCCGGCGGAACTAATTTCGCGTCCTTGTCAAGTGAACTTCAATAACTGTTTCCATCTGGAAAATAATTACAGATCGTTGGGTAAACTTCCGGTGGGAGAGTGATACCAACTTCACACCCCTCTCGCACGCGCGCGACCGCACACACACACACGCCCTTGGGCGCGATAAGCTTTTGGGACGTATTGAGTTTCTTGATGATGACAGTGGTGAGACAACGAAGCCTACTTGTCAACTGATGATGTTTGACAAGCCTTACGAAGCGCTTGGAGTGGCCAGAAGTCGAACCTCGCATTCCGATGCACTTCGGTTTCCTTCCAAGATTCCTTACGATTTTTGCACAAATAGACGAACTAGAAGTACACACGCTGTCTGACGGGATATCGCAGCATATCTAGCTGCCAACCACGAAATGGTGATAGGAAAAGCAAAGCGAAAAATTAGGGGTATTCCAATTTACATTGGAGTAAAAAGCTTATGTGGGAATACTTTAATCGCTTTATCTTCACCCCTCTTCATGCCTTTCCGAAACTAATGAAAGATCAAATTAAATCCTAAATCTGTGCGCGTTGTCAACATGACCTGTCTTTGACGGTTGTACTGCCACCAGGGGGATAAGTGCACTTTGTCGTTACACTAAGCTGTTTAGTTACAAGCTCTCATTCCTAGTTATGCCTACATACTATGACTATTCATGTTCCTTCCAAACCAATCGTTCCCTTGAAAAGACTTGGTAGAATTGCTCTTGAAAACTCAGTTGTGGTAAAGTTTACCATTGATTGACAGCCTATCCATATGATCATGTAAAATGAATCACTGGAAACAGTGTATTACTACAGGAATTACGGAATTCGTGTTTAATCATGAGTTTGGCGTATGCATACTCTGCTTTTGCTTCTCGCAGAATCCTGTTCAGTTTATAGTGATCACCGGATTTACCCACGAACGTGTTTTTTTTTATTTCAGATTGTTTCAACATGCCTTCCACTATCATTTGTGCAAATGCATCTAATTTCTCATTTTTATTGATGTTGCTTCTGAAACACGTGGTACTTTAAACAAAATCGGATTCTAATAAATCAGCATGGTTTAGGAGCTGGTGCCGCAGTTTTGATCCATCGAATTAACATGTTTTTCTGGAGGGAACAAGTCCAGAGGATATGTACTTAACCTGCAGTACAAGAGACGGTATGGACACATTTCCACCAAGACCGTTGTGTGACGAATTTTTGTAGAGTTTCTACTTGCTGAAAAATTTCCGCTCTTGTGTCCTTCGGCTTGAGTTTCCCGGAGCACGAGTGCCCAATCTGCGGCTGAGCACTGCCGTTAGCGAAGTGTAGAATACTTCGACGTATTCAGGAAAGCCCACTTGAGTGACGCGCAAAATCACAAGCCAGAAATTATGGATTCTTGAGAGTTATCAAAAGATGCAGTACTACATGTATAAAACACATAGTAAAAGGGGTACAAACCTCGAATTATGGGGTTCCCGTCTAAACTGTTGCACGAAGTAGCGCAACTCCAAAGAAAGCTCGGAGAAGATGGCATATCTATCTTAGGTTGCGACACACGCCTGGGTACAACACGTCATAGCGCAAAAGTGTCAAAAAGCGCGCGTGAAGAATGGCTGACCGTAGCGCAAAATGGTCAAAAAGCGCGCGTGAAGAATGGCTGACCAAATTGGTTCGACAAGTCAAGGGTTAAATGTTTATGAGGGCTTACAAATGCATATTGTGTCTGTGAGGTAGACACAGTAAACAGCATCAGACAAGGTAAGAGTTTGACTGGGGAAAAGGAAGTACACTAAGTTTAAGGATACTTCAGACTCTGGTGATGGAACGATTTGCTGGCTACCACTTGACCGTACTTAGCCAATCAATCGGCAAATTGGCCTACATAAGCAAACGTCGGGTTTCCGATCTCTTAGTTATGATGATCACAGGCCGCCCAAGAATAAAAGATATTGATTAACAGGTAGCTTGTATAACTGCAGCAGTAACATTGTATAATATTTCTGTCTCTACTTAAAGTGTAGCATCCGAATTCAGGTTACCACCAAAATCATTCCCTCTAAGAGGCACGGACAACAAACATATTTACTTCATAGCCCATTGCGTAGCATTCAGTTTGGTCTCTCAATTGTCTGAAGACAACGACAACTTTAAGCCCGACTCTCCTTCCAGAAGCATGACGACCCCTTGTGGTTGGCAACTGGAACTATCCTTTCCGAGGGGCTCATACAAACAACGAACACAAAAGAAATAACCTACCGTCCGGACAGTTTGGCGCGGTGCTCAATTAGCTCAGGGGGATATTGGCTTCTTTATCCCTCCCAGTCTCATTGGAATGACGACTGTCCTCGTAACTGGGCTTCCGAATTCCGAAGCCTAATTAGGCAGATGAATTTACGTGAATTACGTCCGGCTATTGGAAGGAATCGATAGGAGCTAGGTGATGTATGGGCGAACTGCGGCATACGCAAGGACTGTGGACAAGCAGATAGCGCAGATTTTCTTTAGGATTACTGAATAAATGTCTCTTTTTTCCTATGGACTATGAAGTTTGCTGATCATTCAGCCCGAATAACATGCCCAACGTTTAAGCAAACAAGATTCAGTTGATCTGAATGAGCACAATCCACATCCGTGTACTCATCACCTTTGGGAACTTTGTGGTCGACGTGGTCGAGGGTTAACCAATATGGATACACATTTTTACTCTAATGTTCTCCCTTGTCACGTGGTTGCACGTCCGTAAGTTTGAGGTCCTCAGGTACGTTATCAGAACTTCTAGGTTCCCAAATGACAGAATGCACTTTAAAAAAGGCAGCGAGAAAAAAATAGCATTGGGGATGAATTCATTTTCTACAGTCTCGTCCATCGCACTGTGTAAAGCGGAGTAAAGTGAAATGGGTCTGGTTCGCCAATTTCGTGCAATTCGGGTTCAACTAGAATATGAGATTGACTGAAACTCGGGTACTATGCCCACATGAAGCCCAAAGAAGGACGAATCCAGTCGTGGGCTGTCGAAGAGTTTTCAGCAACCTTGTGAGTAGTGTAGTGCGTTCATGTAACGTGACTAGTCAATAAAACCACTGCAGTCTCGGAGTAACTCTCAGCTCGTCTCGGGCTCACAGGACAGACCTAAATGAATTGATTAATATTGCCTCGAGGAGTTGCGGTTTAGATGGACCTTAGACGTGAAAAACAATGGTTTGGTGATGGCAGTCTTTCGGTGCACATCTGCCCTGCTCCAAACATAAGCCACAGTACAACCGACCGATAGAACATACATACACAGGTTATGTGGTTGTTTCCGGTCGACTATCGAACGTTGTTTTTGTCAGCCAGTCATCACGTTTACCAACTCACCTGCAGTTGAGGAGATACTTGAGTTCATAGAACTGAACCAGGGCTAGAAACGCGAACGAAAGAGCAACTGCCTAAACAATTTCATACGCTTCGACTAATACAGTCATCTGCACATCACTTTGGTTTACACAGGAGACTCACCTGGAACCAAGCTGGATCTCTTGTTTATAGTGTTCTTCTAGCGTATTACCCCTGTACACTTTCATATACTGTTGCTTCACTGTGATTTTAATTAGAACGAGTCGAAAACCCGGCCACTGATCACCAGTTATCCAGGATACAGAATTACAATTTCACCTTCTTTCCTGGTCATAGCGTGAAGCAGCCGTGCATGTCGAGTGAAGCCTGGGGTAATATTGATTAATCGATTCAGGCCTGTACTGTACGCACAGAAAGACCTGAGTCTATCTTGGTTTTGTTGATTGATCATTTCCAGTCTAGTTGCACAAACACAATGGCGTGTATTTTTGTTTATTTTATTCCACTTTGTACGTACTGCGGCGGACGTGACTGCAAAAAGTGAATCGATCCCGCGACTGTGTCGTCCTCCTTGCCTTGCTCAAAGCGATTCAGTGATTGCAATGGTTTGAAATGCACTTCTCTCACCGGTTATGATTGGATAAGGGTTACAACAAAGTTTACCAAGGGAAGCCAAAACATTTTGAGTTTTCATATCGTATGTGTTGATAGAAAGAGTAGAGCGTCTCCCTTAAATTTTCTCTAATCCACGCACGTGCCTCACCGTTTCTCGGATCGAGGTCAACATTGTTTTCTAATCTCCCATGACAGACCCCTACGAAGGAAGGCCAATTACCCTAAGATCCCGTGGTATTCAGCGGATCAGCAGATGTTAAAAATATCATCTCGAGGGTCAATTTTTCAGGATTGATGCTGGTACCACAAAAGTAGTTATTTGCAGGCACTAGTAAAATCATATATGCGGAGAAAAGTCAAACGAAAAGTCTTGGACAGGAAGGAACCTACAAAATACTGTTACCGACTTCTCTCACACAACAACCGAAAACCTTAAGAATAAACTTTACTTTGTACATTAAACTAGCTAGGTTCTAAAATGGAAGAGTCATCACACCTGATCAGAACTGTCGGTTGTGCATCACAGCTTATTCACGTTCTATCTATCTATCTATCTATCTATCAATCTATCTATCTATCTATCTATCTAAAACTACACAACTAGAAGAGTATTCGTCTGCTGCTGTTTCCCTTGGCTGTAACATGTGAGAACCCATAGGGGATCTGGTGCTTACTTGGAGGCAGCTGGACAAAGGGTTCTCCATTTTCACAAAACTAACACGCCTTTATAATTCTAGAGATGAACCATTTGGAGATGTCTGCTACATTCCACTTAGCTCTGATGCATAGCCCCGGGAAAGAAGAGAGAGAGTTGCACATGGCCCAGGGTCAGGTAAGGAACTAAAAATGCACGACCCCCTGGCGACAATCAGTGACGGTGGAGGAGATTCAACATTCACTTTGCCCAACTATTCCTCTGTTCGCTAAACTTCAGAGGATTTTAGACAAACCAGGCTCTCGCATGAACCGATCAATTTTTGT